GCGGCGGTGGTGCGCGGGCGACCTGCGGGCTGGTGGCGCTGGCACAGGCGGGTGATGGGTAAGGACCTGCCCCTTCCCTCGGCTCCAGCGGCCCCGCTCTGCCGGCCGGGCGGGGAAAGGCCGCGCCTCTCCCGGGGCGCGCAGCTGCCGCGCTGTCCTTGGCGGCCGCGGGCCCTCCGAACCCGGTGCGGCTCCGGTGCCGCCTCTCCGTGCGGCGTCCCTGGCGAGAGAACCCCCGGGCGGGCATGGCTGGCACCGCGCTCTRCCGCTGCCGCCTTATTCGGGCTGCGGCGGAGCTTCGGAGCGGCTTGGCTTAATAAATGTTTCCAATCATTTGCTTGAAATAGCGTGCCTGGGAATCATCRGCGCCCACAAGTGCTTCCTGTGGCAGCGGTGACATGACTGCGGTACCTGTTACCTAGGTTTGGGCTGTTCAGCCCTCTCGGTCATTGCATCCGATTATTTTCCATAAACTGAAGATAGATCCAGCGGCACTTYCTCCTCTTTTGGCTCTGCAGGCACTGGTGCTCACCTGTGGTTTGTTCATGGTAGAAGGAGCAAACGCTGCAGATGTCCTGCTGGTTTAAGTGAAGGAAGAATGTAATTGTAGAACTGGATTTAGACACTTTCCCTTTCCAGAGTCCTGAAATCACACAGCTGTTCCTAAGTAATTTAGTTGCTGAAGTAAATKATAAAAAATATACCTTCAGTAGTCTTTTCAGTATCATTTTGATTGCAATCTGTTGGTCGTATATGTCACTCTGTGGTTAGGCTCTCAACACATAGGTGAAGGTTTTTAACTAATGAAGTGGAAGAAACTGATTATTTTAAATGGTATATGGTTCTAAAATCTTGACAGTTCACAGTGTTTCAGGAATTCTAAATTACTTCTAAGTAGGTAACTYTAAAAGCTTTGTAATTCCCCTTTAAACATCACTTAAACTGATGAATTAAAAGTGCTTGACAATTTTGACATTAGCTTTCAGTGCTTTTTTGCTCCACTGTTTCTTTTCAAGTACTCTATTTTTTTGSTAGTTGCAGCTCTGATGTGATAAGTAATAGCTCAGGTGCAGCAGGCACACTGGTCACATGCTCGTAAAGTTAAATAGAGGAGATGTATTTGTGTGTTTAGTACCCTTTGTGATACTACAATTGAAAGCAGTAGCTTTGAATAATTTTTGAACTTTCTGTGCATGGTAGCTRTCAGGTATTTCTGTAAGAGCTTTGAAATCCACCGTCTTAGTCAATATCCAAATGATCATTTTTAATGTAGGGCAGATGGTGGGGATCTTGTTTCTTAGTGGTGAGCGTAACTGTGAAAAGCAGCCCAATCTGGCCCTTAAAGTTGAAAAATTCAGTTTGCCTGAAGATTTGAGCAAGAAACTGTAGCTAAGTCTAAGGAGAAATTGTGACTCTCCCAAGAAACTTCCAAAGAACAGATACTCACCCACAGTGTTTAAGCTCTTAGTCAGTAGTGACTTTGCTGAAAGTACTCTTGACTCAGAAATGTTTATGGGATGAAGGTCTAAGCATTAAGCCTTCTTAACTGCTAAGCTCTATTGCTTAGTTATATGTAGAAGTTTCCCCACCACTAATACGTTTGCTGTTTGCCATTCTCTTCCTTAGTTTTGATTAGTCTGACAGTTGAGTTTTGAATAGTGATTTTATCATCTGTCCTTCTGAGTGAAATACCATCCTAGTGAAAGAATTCTGTCAGCTCCATGAGCTGTCCAACACCACAGCTTGGTTAGGAAGCAGGCTGACTTCCTTCTCTTACTGAATGTTCTTTGGTTACTTGGTCAATTGCTTGGTCAAKTGCTCTTTGCAGCTGGTGCAGACCATGATGATTTGTTTTTTCAGTATGCTTATACCAGAGATGGTAAAATTGTCTAGGAGAAAAAGAGCTGAGGGCTGATTTTGGAGGAGCATCTTGGATATGTATGTTTGTGTATTGKCCAGCTGGACTGAGACTATGTAGTCTTGTGATCTGCAGCTGGCAGACACTGACAAAGGTGCTTCATGGAGAGGGTTTATATAACCTTACTTAAAAAAGTCTTTTTGATGCATATGGAGAAATCCTTCCTGGCGACTGGTAGGGTAGATGAAGAGGAGGTTAACGAATTATGTTGGCTAGGAAAAGAAGATTTTTTGGTGAATGAAGATTCATCAGCTGAGGGAGCTGTTCATCAAAGAAGACAATACCAAGCTGGAGAACAAAAATGTCCTTACAAGTAGTTTTGTTTGAGTGATAGGGGCCCATTCAGTTAATAGTTAAATAGTACTTTTACTGGTTAAATAGTACTTTTTGCTGATGCAGGAGCTGTGTTTAAACTGTTGAATGACTCCATACTCTGGTGCAGAGAAGCATTAATTACTAAGCAAGGATTATGACAGAAGACTTGCTGCTCAGAAGTCCAGCACATTAATTAATTAAGGGATGAAGTATACACTTGGTATTCTTTTTAGATGAAAAGTACTTACTATATTATTTTCTCTGTAATGTATTATCAAACATTTAGTGACGTATAGGTACAGATAAGAAAAATTATGCAGGAAGACTCTGACTGTTACAAGATACCGTGTCTGGTTTTCATCAGCAGACCYTTACAGAGGCAAGAAAAAGCAAGTGGGATGTTTTCAATGTAAAGCTGACCAAATTTAGAATATTGTAATCTTCTTAAATTATTTTGGCAGAGTGCACTTCTCAAAATCATTGCATAACCTTTAAAAGTCAGTGACCCTGGGGCAATTTAAATTCCATTGGCAAAGCTAGCAGCAGAAGGATTCTACCCATGTACAGCTGGCCTCCCTAACTTCTACATTTCTTCATCTAGTTCCCTCTCGGGATCTAGCTTCAGTGGAGGTTTTATGAGTTCCATAGAGAAGTCTGTACAAAACACAGAAGCTSTCTCTGATCCTTTCTTTCAAAGCAGGAAGAAGAAAAAAAGGAGTGATGTCTTCTGTTGTGCTTGTGTGAGAACTTCAGAAGCTAAATCAGTGGGAAAATCTTCCATTTAGTGGCTCACATTGAATTGTAATCATGTTTCCTTCTTCTTGTTAAATTATTTCATATGTACTTTCTCATAAAGCCCTGAGCAAAACCAGCAACTTCAGTCGCTGAGCTTACTCTGGACATCTTCCCATGATCCTGTTAAATCTCACCTATTGGGAAAGAGGTCAAGTTTCACTGATCTAGAGAGATCAAGAATATTAAAATGAACTGCAGCCACTCTGATTAGGATTTTTTTATGGGACAGGACTGTGTGAGCTCTGACCCCTTTTGCTATTTGGTCAATGTGGTTCAAAATAGATTTTATAAAGCTAADAACTAAGTAATGTAGTTGAAATTGTGTTTTGAGAGTCACTTGTTTCTCAGTCCTATTCTTGGCCAGTTAGACTCACAGTACAAGCATACTGGACTTTTTCCAGCTCTGCTGTCTATGGTTCTACCCAGCTATTAGTTCCTCTTTGTTTGAATACAAAGAGATGTTCTCAGTTCTGCATATTATAGTGCTTGTGCAGTCAAGTATTTGCAGTGAAATCAGGGCAGCACTGGAGCTGGAATTCATTCTTGAAACTRTAAGACTCATTAATTTGGGAAATAGTGTAAGATGAAATGTAAATATCTGAAATGGTCTAAACTTGTCATCATTCAGTTAAAGAGAAAACTGCTTTCTGTATCTTTATATAAAGCTTGAAAGGCTGTGTTTTGAATCATTGACAGGCCAGGTATTCTGAGGACAGGATTGCAATCTGCAGTTCTGAAGTTACTCTTCTAAAAGTTGTATCTTGTTTGAGAATAGGCATTCAGAGATTCACAAACACTAGCTGACTTTTTAAAATTAAATTGCTTTTAAGGTAAAGTTGTTAGGAAATTGCAGATTAGGTCAAGTTTTTTCTATTGTAGGCCGACTTTTCAAAGCAAAGAAATCCGTATTTTATCTGTATTGTCTGTAAGCTCCAAATTTGGTGAGCGTGTTACAATTGGTTCTCCTCATTAATTGAGTTTTCATAGGTATGAAGATCTGCTGGCACATGGTCCCTAAAGAGAATAATGAAGACTCTTCTGGAAAAAGCCCACTTTCTTTGGAGTCAGTGTAGCTGTAGCTGGTTTTGCTCACAATTAGCCTGATTTACAGATTAATCTATATTGCTGGTTCTGTTTCCAGTGAAGGAGTATTAGTTTCACATGGTATCAGTGATTATTTTACAAGTAGATTCTGTTGCTCCTACTTCTGATGTTCTGCCCTCTCTTAGAAGTTGAGTGTGTTCTGGGCACTTTTCCAGCCATGTGATTGCAGCAGGTTACTGTGGATTTTATGGTTGAAGTAAAATGGGCTCAATACCACAGTGACAGTTTCAGTAAATGCTTATACAATTGATGAGGTTAGTTGGTGACAAGATGTGGGTTTGCAGAATATCAGGCCTTAGATGTTTGAATTATGCAGTTATTTCAAAACTGAGATTGTGCTACATATGAGATTCTAAAAAGTGCCTAGATGTGCAATCTGGACATTACTTTCTGTGAAAGCACCTGTGGAGGTTCATGTAATAGGAAAATATGAAAGTTCTTGTCTTTCAAAGCATCCTCTTTTTGGCAAATCACCACCATCCTAAGTGCTYATTAAAAATATGCCATGCTTTAAAATGTAGTTGGTTCAAATTTAATTGAAATAATCTCTTAGATCTGTGAACTAATTTAATCAGTTCTCTAAACAGTTTTCCTGAGTTTGAGTACCTGAAGATCTGAAGATTTTTCAAAGCTGTTAATCAAATTATTTAATTTTGAAGTGGCTTATATAACACTGGGCCATGGAAAGTTAAACCAAACTAAGAAGCCAGAAACTGACTCATGAATTGGACTACTTCTCTAACAGGTTCTAATTCCAATGGATTTGAATATGTTGTAGATAGCATATAATGGAAAGTGATCTCAGATTGATGAACTAAGACAAAAAAAAATCAATAGAGGCAGATAAACGGAGAAATAATAGAATACAATGATAGAAAACTAATAGTACGGGTCAGCAAGTTGTTGAGAAGGAGAGATGAAAAGAAGCATGGGCAAAATGTCCTTCTCAACTCCCAACAGGAACATCGAGGCAAGATTATGTCTGTTGAGGTTGGTGATCAGGTTCTGAAGCAGCTGGGATCTCAGATGTGRTGGATGAATCAGTGAGTTTTAAGCAGATCATGGATGGCTTTTAGGCTGTTGTGGGTGACAGTTATCACTGCTGATGTCAACACTGATAGCAGAAAAAGGTATCAAGAAAGCTTACTGAACATGTTCACTTTGAGGTGATGGTTAGATACCTGTGAGATGGCGTGAGAAAAGAAGAGAGCAGGATAAAAGCGAGGAGTCTACAAGAATGAGTGTAGAAATGKTAGTCAGAATTATTCTTGTAAGGTTACTTGGAATACAGAAACAAAGAAAACCAAGGTTTGAAGCAAGGTTTCCAAAAACCTTAAATCTTTAAAGCTARATTAGGTTCCTCAGGGTGTCTAAAGTTACTACAAATATGGASGTTCCACAATTTCTCTGCATTGCCTGTTACAGTGCAGAACCTTTTTTCCACATCAAGGATGCTTTTCTTATTTCCAACCAGAATTCCCATTCCTGCAATTCCTGGCCATTGCCCCATGTCCTGTTGTTGTGCACATCTGTGGAGAGTTCAGCTTCATTTGCTCTGTAACTCTTCTTCGTCCCACTCCGTAGGTTGTGAAAGACTGCAGACTTTGMTTCTCCAAGCTCAGCAAAGACAGTTCTCTTAGCCTCTGCTCATAGACCGTATTCTCCGGCACCTTGGTTGTATTACTTGATGTTTGCTGGGTTGTCTGCAGTTTGATCACATCTCTTGTGTATTTGCTGTATAGAGAAATCGCTGGTTTCTTTGACTTCTGGTTCTGTTCTTGCTAGTGTAGTGCAGAACATCATTAACCTTTTGCTGCAAGGATGCACTCCTGATTCATGCTTAACTTGGAGTTGATGGGAATCCACAGGTTCTGCAGAGCTGCCATCTGTCCGGTCAGTCAGCAGCCTGATTGCATCCCCTGCCCCAAGTAAGGGATGTGATATTTGTCTTTGTTGAACTGCTTGAGGCCCATTGCGCCAGTCTTTCTGAATGGTAGCCTTKTCCTGCTGTTTTAAAGCCATTCCCCGCCCCCACCCCCCTGGCTGGTGTCACACATGATTTTGCTGAGGGTGCTTTTGTTCACTCATCAGTCACTGATGAAAATTTTTAAGCAGCTACAGTATTGACCCATGAGGAACATCAGGTGTAACTAGACTGTTGCTAGTCTTTGAACTTCTGATCACTGTTATTTAAGCCCRACACTCCAGACAGTGTTTCTTCCTTCAGGCAGTTTTGCAGTCCAGTCCATATTTTCCTCATTTGTCTACTGGGATACGAGAGGAGACTGTTCTGAAAGCTTTACTGAAGTCAAGGTAAATAAGATCTACTGGTATTAAGGGCTAGAGAAAGAAAGATGCTTRAAACAGGCCTTGAAGCTCCTCAGAAAGTGGGAAGTTTTGGGCTACCTACAGGAGCAATTTTAGATTAGTGCAAGTGAGGGACTGGAGAAGACTGACTCATAGAAACAATGAGAAGAAGACTCCAAGATGGTTATTGTGGCTTATGATGCTGGTTTAGGCTCTTTGTTCAGTTGTTCCCTAGTTTTGACATGTAGCACTTCTTAAAAAAGCAATGGGCCCTTTTCCTGACTTATCTCAGTTTTCACTATGTGTTTTCCCAGTTCAGATTTATTTTAAATGGTGCTACTTCTCTAGCTATGTAATTGCTGCAGGCATCTGTGGAAACTGTCTCAGACCAAAGTTCTCTCAACAAACCTGATTTATTAAATGTGGCACTTCCAAAACWGTGCTGCAGATGAAAGAGCATGACCATTGCTGGCTAAGAAGGAGCTTAAAGTCAGAAAGACTTTAAAATGATTAATCAAGTGTTATTGGCCTAGAGAGGATTCTTTGCTAAGCATTGAGACCTCTTAGCGTCTCGATCCAGCTTAGGCACATTTTCTGTATGTGCACTTGGAGCTACAGGATTTCTGTAGTTAGTTAGCCTTGTTTCTGTCTGCTTAGTTGACACATACGTTAGTGTTTGTTCTGCATAACTTTTTCCTTTGTCATAAAGGAGAAAGTGTTTTATGTAATTGGCAAAGAAATCTGGTCACTGTCAAATTGTGCTGCCTTTGGATTAGGAGTTTTTAGAGTGATGAGATAGTGATTGCAGTTGATAAATGCCTACGGTGCTGCTCCTATCCAGCATTTGATGCTCACTAACTACTGGGAAAAGGTGACTGACTGAAGCATTTTCCACAGGTTCTAGGTTAAGCTTTATAGTTGTCTTGGTACTATGGTAATTAGGATACAGAGGTTGTTCCTGCAAAGACTTCATAATTTCTTTTTACTATATTATGTTTTATTCTAGTTTTCAGTATTTAAACAGTGATTCCATGGCACAAAGGACTTGCCATGATTTAATATGGAGACTTTCATCTTTAGGTTAGTAGCTTGTGTCTGGTTGCAGGATCAGAAGAATCTGAGGGGCTGCATGAAATAAAGAGAATATGTGCAATATCTTGGGGCTGCATGAAATAAAGAGAACATGTACAATATCCCACAGCTGCAAGCAGCGATGCAAATAAGGAATTTGTGAAATATATATAAAATTGCATTTTGCATGTCCAGTTAAGGATTTAGACACAGACTAAAATACAGAAAATCCTGCGTATTTAAAGTCTGCGTTTGAGCTGTTCTTGGCTCTTAGCTTTAATACTATATTTTTTTAAACACCCACATTTCCCTAATTACAATAGGTTTTTTGATATGTAGAAAAATCATTGTGGGATGGTATTTGTGGCCTGATATGASCTACAATTTATGGTTTAAATTTAAAATAGGATTCACATTTCCACTGTTTTTAAGCATAAAAAGCTGTTGTAAGTAATTGAAAACAGATTACATGATAGCTTTTATTACGTCATTGTTGTACATCAATCTAYAATACAAATATATTGATCTTCATTGTTTTGAAATCAGTGTGTTCTAGGACTATGGCTTCCAAAACCCCAGTTGGATTCATTGGGCTGGGTAACATGGGAAATCCAATGGCAAAAAACCTGATAAAACATGGATATCCAGTTATTGCATATGATGTATTCCCAGAAGCTTGCAAAGAATTTCAAGACTTGGGTGCTCAGGTATAGTAATAAACTTTCTTTATTCCAACAGTAACTGTGTGTATTRAATGGTTCCTGCATGCAATGCAACTAAGTCATTATTAAACACTAAATTCTTAGTTAAGTTCACAATCAGAACTGAAACAGCACAATGAATACAATCTGTATTTGTGAGATTTCAGTTGGAGCAAAGGTATGATTCCATTCCAAATAATTTTCCTGCTGTTAGCCAGAATTGCTACCTTGTGAAATTTCTCTAGATGTCTTTTTCGCCCCCACACTTTTTATGAGTGTAGGTTGATGGCCTGTTCTTTCACCTCCTCCTTTCTCYTGCTTCCTTCTCCCCCAGGTCTAGATGGCCAGTGGGCTGCTTTTCATCTGATTCCTACTTTGACCTTTTCAGGTTAAATGACCCTAGTTAAAAATTCCTGCTGGCATAGCTGTAAGGGTTATAGGGACATATGAGATTTCCTGCTGCTTCAAGGTGYAGTCCTCAGGGGCAGGGGAAAAAATCTAATTATTTAAGTGCTTATTCTCTTGGAGGTGAGGAAGAACATGGTGAGAGAAGAGGAAGGAATGAAAAGGAAAAAGGAGGGAAGGAAATTGATTACATTAAGGAGGTTTACCTTCCTGCAATATACCCTGCAAMATCTTGGCCCTGTTCCAGCCAGTCCTATTGCTTTTCTTAATCTGTTAATACCCCCAGAACCCCATTCAGTCTCTCAGGTGGTTGTGTCATTTCTATGTGTCTGTAACACATTTGAATGGTTTTGACATACTTCAAAGCTGTCACAATTTAGACAGTTGTGGGCAGATGGATACGTGCTTAAAACACTGAAAAAATAAGTGAAATGCAAACATAATCCTCTCATGTAACAGTGTAGAGGATAGACAGGAATTTTCCAGCAGTGGCAAGAAAATTGTAGGTAGATCTAGATAGAAGAACTGTGTGCCTTGAAAGTYTAAAGTGTTAGAGCTAATTGCAGCTGTTTCAAATAATGAGGTAACATCAAGATTCCTAAAAGATAAAATTATACCACCCACCTGTTAGTAATTAATTGCAGCTTCCCTTGAATAATTACAGAATTTTGGCCTTAAGTGGGAAAGTAAGCTTTTCAGCTTCTTTTCCTAGCTTCTGTTCTTGTTTTGTTAAAACAGCCAAGACCCTCAGGCATGAACCAGTCTTGAGTAAGACTGGGCAAATGGAAGAGACTSTTTTGAACTACTGGTTGCATTTTAAATTCATGTTCTGCAGTGGAATGTCTTTGCAGTGGCTGCCCATGTTGATAKCTTTTTGCCTTTGTAATAGAATCTTTGACATTGACTGCAAGACTTTTCATGTGATAATAAAGGTGAACTGAAATGCCTTTAAAAATAATGTCTAAAGCRTGTTTTAAGATCATAAATCACGAATACATGGGTAGTCTTAAATACAAATCAAACACACTTGAAGAAAATATGTGAACATAACTTTCTYTTCTTGATCTATAGGTGTAAATCCTACTCCAACACTTTTTTCAGGAGTTGAAAACTTGTGAGTCCATGGGGCCTTGTAGAAACTGCYGTAGAAGGAACATTGGGCTCTAAGGGCTGTGTTCTCTTTGGTAGGGTAAAACCATCAGGAGTGTTACAGGGGTGAAATGACCCCAAGAGACAGTAAACCTAGTCAAATGTCCATTGTTTAAGGCCAGTGCTGCTACCAAGGTATATGGCAGATGTGGGGTGTTTGACCATAAATCTGCACARTCTGTGACTCCACTTTCTTTAGCCACTGAAGTAAAGAACTGGGAGGTGGCACAGGTCAGAAAGCGGCCACCCCCTGCTAATGGTGAATTGTAGGAGCAAGACTGGCTGAGCTGGAGCATATGGAACCACTTGGGGTGAAACCTGGAGAAAGTTGGAAGGCTACAAATAAGGGAGAATAGTGAACAATGCTGTGAGTGAGCAGGCTGCCTCTACACTCTATTTACTGTCTTTACCCTTTGTCATTAATTACAATTTTTTTTCCTCAGACAGTGGAGTAACTATATGCTTCAGTTTGCAGGTCTTTGTGTCTCAATCTTATCTCAGCTTTAGGAGATTGAGAGCGATACTGGAGTCATCTGATGCATAAAGCATCATAAAAATAAAGTTTCTTCAGTGTACAATAAGAATGGCATTTCAGGCAAAACTAATTAATTCACTTACTATAAATATAAGTAAAAAACATAGAGAAGCAGTTTGGAACAAATACATGCAGAGACACATATTGAAGGGCAGAACCAACAACCAGCAGTATGAAGAAAAGTCTCTCCTATCCAATGGCATACTGCAAAAGTTTACTTGAACTAAACAAGTGTCAGAACATGTGCAGACCTTGGTGGGCTGCTACTCTGAGCTAGTGTGGTCTATGCGGATAATCAACAACTAGTATTTAGYATGGTTTTTAAAGGTATGCACATGTTCTTAGTGATTTCAAATGCTTAAAGTTTTATAATAGCTTTCAAGACATTCAGCTTTGTTTCTAAGACACAAAGACCCAAATAAAAGTATTATATGCTGCTTWTTGAACCAGATAGGTAGATTTTTTTCAGGCAATATTATTCATATCTGTTAACAGTACCAAAAGCTCAAGAGTGACAGTTCCCGTTTTTAATTCCCAGTTTGTTTTGCTACTTACTTCAAGGTAAAAGAAAGGTTTTCCTTTGTATGGATATGAAAGTACTGTCCCAGTCTACTTTTTAACCTTATTTTCTTCATGTAAAAGGCATGTTAGTATTTTGAAAGACATTGATGGAAGAAATTAATTTCTGTGTAATTACTACATTACTATGTCTTTGTATCTGTGTTGCTTAAGAATTGTTTAAAACTGTAACCAAACCTCAGCTATCTTCTATCTATGTAGCCAAGTACAAATTTGAACTTATGTTCTCCTTCAGTTGTGTGCCCAATGTAGTGTGTTTTGCAACTTTGAAAGATGCAAATGTGCCACTGGGTCTTCAGCTGATACCCTGCAAACCTCTAAGAATACTGGAGATCATAGTTTCAAATAAGACGACATATATAAATTTAGGTTCCAATTACACATTTTCTCTCTCAGTCTCTAATAATATGCATTAGGACTGAACCAAAACAGGGATGCTCAGAACTAAAGACAAAGGTGTCATACTTCTTTTTAAAGAGATAGGATCTCTGGTCTCCAGGGAGACAATTCATAAAGTTAACTAATGAGATATAGAAKGTTTGCTGCTTATAATTGCCTCATTTATTCCTGCTAACCTTTGTTCTTTAGATTAGAGCATGTTTTGTTTTGTAACTGTGTGGTATGCCAGATGTTTTGTGCAGTATCAGCTTACTCTTTCAAAACAAAATCTGCATGTTTCTCAGTCCCATCTATGCCAGTTTCTTTACTTTTTTTCCYCAAGAGCCTTGTTCAGTGACTATTTACAGTCTTCCCTTCTTTTGCTCAGAAGTCAAATAAAAATCAAGACGTTTCTTGTGCTGTATCCCAGAAGTCCTTCAGGCGTAATTTATTATGAATGACTGAAATCAGACTTCTTCCTCATGGGMTAAAGATAAAAGAATAAGCTGTATTTTTGTTGCTATTATCCCTGGGCTAGGAATGTGTTGACAATGCAATTTAAAAGAAATTAATTATTTCAAACTAGCACAGGACAGAAGTCGTAATGGTGAATGCCTTCTAATGCTGCTTAGCTGTCAATATTTCATGTGTTGTATATGTCTATTAGATACTATACTGCCTGCCTCTGGAAGTGACATGCAAAAGGTAATACACCTTTGAAGTAGGTRTGGTTATTTAACAACTAATACCTAGTAATATATTTTGAACATTGYTCATACCTTTCTTGTGAAGGATGCTTGACCTGGTAATTTGCCTTTTTAAAAATATCAGTTGTAATATTGTGAGAAACAGCAATTGGTTTATCTGTCTTCTATTAAGGTAAGGCTCAGAGGTGCATTAAGTATTTTTTTTCTTTTTTCCTCAGTCTTCCTCTCTTTCAATGCCATATATAAGATAAGGAGAAAAGCTGAGATTTTTATGATCCTGTTATGTTGTCCTTCCTTAGAAATATTTTGTRTAGATGCATGGTTTGTAGTGAATCAAAGATTCGTGAATGGGTTGATGGGATGAAAGCATGCCTTTTGGCAGATGTTGTGGAGGAACATCCATAATGGGAGATACTTTTAATTTTTTTTTCTGTTACTGGATCTAAATAACTAATATTTTCATTAGAAGAGGATTTTTTTTTTCTTGTGTTTTAATTTTTTACCTAGCTTAGTTGTGACTAATGTCCAGTGAATACTAAAACCAAACTCAGCAAACATGTTAAACATCTCTTTTTCAGGAAGTGTGAAAGCTTACATGGTTGGTTTTTTTTTTTCTGTAAAAGGTAACAGAATCCCCAGCAGATGTAGCAGAAAGAGCAGACAGAATTATCACCATGCTGCCTTCTAGTCCCAATGCAAAAGAAGTTTACACAGGAGCAAATGGAATTCTAAAGTAAGATTTTTTTGTAGTTTGGAGAATTTCCACTCATACTCAAGGTTTGTCTGATGATCACTATTGTAACTCTTGCTGTGCCTTCAGGACACTTAATTCAATGTTCTCTATTCTGTCACTATTGATATTTCTAATTATATGACTTCTCTTATACAGTGCTTGCTTTTGAATGGCTTTTGGCTAAAGTCTTAATTTTATTTTCAGTAGAATAATAATTTATGTGCATTTCAGGCAACTTAATTATTACCTGCCTTTTCAGTTACATGGTTCTTCTGACGTAATGTACTACGCACAAGTGCAAGTAGAATATTTRTTGGCAACAATTATTTGTTCAAATACTTTTTTCTTTAACTTGAAATCCTATAAATTAAATGTTCTGAAGAGATGTCATTGTGTTTTACAGAATTGAAGTGTATTAACATAKAATGGCTGACAAGACTTTCCTGATTTCTACTCTTACTATATGTTTATTGCACAAAAAATACTTGAAGAGTTTGTTTAATGAGAAACAGGGGTTTTTAACTTTTGTGGAGGGATTTCCACACAGAGCCTTAGATCCATAGTATGGAGAATTCTAATGCTAAGAGTTTTCTAATTTGGTAAATCAAAAAGTAAATATMATTTTAAAGTCTGTTCTAGCTACATGTGCACTGCTCCTGGCAGGCTGACTATGGCCACTGGATACCTCTGAGGATCATGTAGGCTCTTACAGCTATACAGGTTAATAAGGAAAAGGAAGAAACATACTGAAGACAAAAGTAAAGTAGATTATCAAAAAACAATGATGCTTTTTTAGGAATTGGTTGTAAAATATTAAGRTGCAGTGATAAGAAAATGGAAGTAGAAGAGAGGGATTTCTGTTGTTCTTGCTATCCTTCCTTTACTGTCTGTAATTTAATTCCTCATAAAGCAGGACTGAGCAGATCTAAGTATCTGTAGCTTAGACCCTTCAGGGAAGATGGGTAATTGGATCAATCCCACAAAGCTCAGCAAGTAGCTGTGGGAGAACTGTACYCATGATGGCAGTGGTTTGAAGAACGATTGGCAGTACTTACTGATATAGYACACCCAGATAATCTCATGAGTACGTAGACGTGGAAAATCCAGCAGGGAACAGAGGATGTGGAAAGCAGTCCTGTGCTGCTGCAGTTTCTCAGCCTCTGTATGAAGAGGGGAGGTGTAATTTGACAATAGTTGGATAATTGTTGCACAAAGTGGCCTGGTCCTTGCTGACTGGTTTGACTTTCATAATATTCTAAAGCTTTTAAAGCTTTACAAAAGAAAAAATTAATAGTGTGAAATGTTTAAAGGTTGACTGAGTCATCCCTCCTTGTTACCAAGGAACACTGCTCCTTGTTGTGAACATAAGTGAAGATGATGTAGTACCTGATCTGCTGCTCTGGTTTTTGTTTTTACATGTTCAAACAAACTGTCCCTTCCGTGAAAGGAGACAAGTTTTGTGTAYGTGGCACTGTTTGAGTCTGGAGTTCCAGTGGGGTCACACTGTATGTATACACTAAGAGATTGTGTCCAGCAATCTAGGCAATACAATTAARTGAAATCCACTGTGCTGCCAACGGCATGCAAGGTGCAGTGGAGCTCTATCTGTCATAAGTAGCTTTAAATGGGACACCTTTTTGTGACTGAAAAATTCTGGTCTTTCATTTCATGGTGATCACTGGTCAGGTGAACTTGAAATGATGGAATTCAATGGAAATTCAATGGCAAGAGGGATAAAAATAAACTTTTTTGTTGTGGAGGGCAATAAAAAGGTCACATTTTGCAAATTTCAAAAATCTTAYTGTATTTTTTAAATCAGGTATACAACTTTCTGTGTTACACAGTTTGCAATACAAATCTGCCTAAATTTAGTGGCTATYAGTGGGAAAACATTTTTCTCCATGCTTTTCTTCAAATCTTCAATGGGCTTTTGTGGTCTTAGTTACAGTCTTTATGTAGAATAAACTGTAGCAACGATTAAAATAATGCAATCAGACCATTCTGATAAGAACTTAAGGTACTGTATGTATAAAAAGAACATTGTATTGTTATATATTCAATTTAATGCCGCATGAGAAGTTACTTAGAATGCATCTTAGGTGATCTGTATATGATATCCTGCTCTATTTGTATGATGGAAGGTTTTCCTAGACCATCCTTTTTATGTGATTTTTTAATAATARTGTATAAGAAGAACATATTTTTTTGTGTTCAGCTTTTATTGGGCTTTGAGTGATTCAAAACTGCAGTATACATATTTAACATTATGAATACTAAGCAGATCTTGCTCAATAGGTTTTAAAACTTCGTGTCTATTAGTGTACAAAAAAAATGTGCACATTTATCATGCTGAGGGAAACCAGTGCATTGGTAATCATTGCAACTATCTTCTGGAACAAATACTTAATAATAACAATTAATCTTTCTTTTAGGAAAGTGAAGAAAGGCTCATTGCTAATAGATTCCAGCACTATAGATCCTGCAGTTTCAAAAGAATTAGCCAAAGCTGTTGAAAAAATGGGTGCAGTTTTCATGGATGCCCCAGTTTCTGGAGGTAAGTCTTCATTAGCAGTTTACTTCATATTGGACAAGTTGTCTCTTTGTTTGCAATTTCAGTCAYCAATTTGTAACCTTGTTGCTCTGTTCTTTGCTATATGTACAGTATTCTGTTTTTTGTTGTTTGATTGCATTACAGGTATGTATTATAGGAGTATTTTTAGTRTTTAGGAATATGCTTTCTGTGTTAAGAGTTGGAGAAACTGAGCTTTCTTGGGATATAGTACAGTGGTCCTTTCAACCTCTTTCATAAAGTTGCATTTTTATGCRGTTATTCATATCCCTTCAGCCTCTATCTATTTCTTTCTGCTAGGAAAAAGCTGGTTGTCATTAAGCAGTTCTGATGCTTTTTCACTAATTAAAAAGGAGAGAATGAACTGAAGAATACAGGATTTCTTTATCGAAAGAAAACAGAACTTTTGTCTGATTTTATAATAATTGAAGAATGTGGGTGATAATTGTTCGTAAAAGTTAGTAACTATTGATCTCTGAATATATAGTCTCTTGTAAGAAATACTGTAGAGCAGCGAAGTCTTTCATTTTTGTGGACAGAGGAGAGCAGAAATATAAAATCAATGTTTTGAAAACCATAACTGATACGTTCTGTTTTTTGAATTCTTCTCCAAAACACCTAAAATTAGAAGATGAGARAAACTCTTTTTCTGTGGGAAAATCTTGGGGTTTTTACAATCCACTCTAAAAATCAATGTAAGTGGCATTTTGAGAATTCTTTATTTTCCTGATGASTGTAAGTGGTGAGCAAAAACTAATGATAATTTTAATTTTCAACTGCAGGCTAAGGCAGGATTTGCTTCCTTGCTAGAAGCAAAAATTTTCATCTAAATTCTATTGTGAGCAAAAAGTAGRTATGTCCAGGTAGGTGATATTGAAGAATATAATGGAGAAGACAAGATTCTTGCTTCTCAGCCAAAATATTTGTTCTGGTTTATAAAGTTAGATAGCTAATCAGCCTGGGAATAAAAACCACAAAAAAATCCATTTTGGGCAGATTATGTATCTGTCTGATCCTTTTTTTAAACACAGCATTGTTTTCTGCTTATCAGTTGGGCAGTTCTGATGTCTAATACATTGTTTTCTTCAATCCCTTTCCACCAAATRTATTGTTTGCCTGAGGGAATTATCTATCTATTAGGAAGTGCCTGTAATTTATTTTAACCTGTAAGTTTTTGCTGTAAGGCTGATTGTAACTACAAAGAAAAAAAGGAAGAGTTAGATTCTGAAAGAACTTTAGGGGACTTTTTCCTTGAGAAAATAGTGAGGCCAAGACTTAGTATGATAACGTATTGTTGGCTAGTATGAATACAGATGGGTTTTTTGGTGTTAGTGGTTTATCTGAATACAAATGACTTGGTGGTTAGTGTAAGTTACAGACTGATGGATATCCTGAATAAGAGGGAGAGAATGGAGACTTAGCTTTCTAGTCCTCAATATGCTTGTGAAGGCCAAGGAGTGCGCTCTACAAATCATGTCTAAAGTGAGCAGTTGCTAGAAATGTAGAAAAGTCTGTTGGAAAAAACCTTTTAATGTGTTGCTTTGTTATTTCCATCTTTCAGTACCTAACACATCAAGTCTTTGGGGTATTTTTATATGTCCTGACTGCGTTGTTGGCCTTCAGACAAAACACTAAATGGAGAAGTATGCCTGGCTCTCTAGAACTTGGCAGGCACTTACGCTGTTGCTGTGCAGTGCAATAGACTTGGCAGGAGTATGAAGGAGGGTGTTTGTGGGACGCAGGGAGGAGGAAGAGAAAGCAGCATGCCTGATCTGTCCTCTTTAGAGCTGTCTGTTTACTAGCTGTTGTTGGCAGGCTACTCCACTTGTGTTTTTAGGTATTTGGGTGTTGCCTGATGTTAGCATTCATCTGCACTGCAAACAAGTTCACAAACTGAGTAATATTTTGAAAATTGCTTGGTCTGTAWACCCTAGGGAGAGATAGCAGTGATTTTAATCCTGACATTGCAAATGCAGAATCCTTGGGCATAGCATTAGGGCCAGATTTTAGTGGCTTGTTTGCAGTCTTRCCCCCAAAAGATTCTTTTCCTTTATCTTTTTCAGATGGGCTTGCATGCCAACTTAGTAGTACTATCTTCTTTGTATGATTGGCTACAGCATTTGCTTGCAGCTTACAGTCAGAACACATTAAGTAGAAGTTGATGAACCAAGTCACTATAGTATTATTTTGTATTAACTGACTTTGGAAAATACTTCTCATCCCAGTAGTTGCATGCAGATTATGCTGCTAATGCTGTCTAGAGATAGCAATCGCTTTAGCCTGGGATTAGGATCTCTTGCAGGTCCACATGAGAAAGTTGTGTCATGGTTCCCAGTGCTGCCCTGGTTTGTGACCTCTTTGTGAGCATGAGACACATGAGGAAACATCTTCAAAATCCATGTTAATTTTATTTTATTTTTTTCTTTAAATCTAGAGAGTAAATTTATCTCTTTACAAAGATTGGATTATYCATCTTTGTATGTATCTAAGTATTTTAAAGCACACATTATCTCAGAAGCACGTTTGAAACTGACTTAGATTGGCACAAGATACTACTGGCTAAGTACAGGATCTAAATTTGGCCTTCAAGAATTGTGTCAAGTTTGTCCTCCCACCGATTTCAGTAGAAACATGATACAGATTCTCAGTTTGTAATCCAGAGCAAACTTCACTAGTGGCTTCACTGATACTGCTGTAATAGTTCTCTCTCCTTTACTCAGTATACAAAATATTCATTCTCTGAAGTACATTGACTGGGGTTTTTTTTTTTTATTTCTGATGTGATTCTTTCTCTGTTGTAAGCATTGTTACTACCTTTTCAATTTTTTCCCTTCTACTCACTGTTGAAATTACATCAGCTCTRTATCTGCTTAAAATACATTGTACTGCCTTCTGCTGAAACTTCACAAAAAGATGCGACACCTTGATTTKTTTTTCTGGTTTAGGAGGTATGAAATAAATGTTTTCAACTCTTTTRTAAGTCTGGTTCTTTAAGATTTGATAAGGAAACTTAGAAAGATCTTCCCCCTCACTGTGTCCYTTAGACAAGAGAGTAGTCAGTTAAAAAGTCAGACTGCTAATTGTTAATAACAGCTGTCATATATAGAACTGTAGCTGTTCTAAGATGGTAATGAAGAGTAGAATAAAAGATTTTGATTTTAGGAACTTTGCATTGGAGGTGGCTAGAAGARGGTGTTGTTTCTATTCCAGCTGTCATTTCAAACTGTTTCATTTTATAGTACTGCTTCCATAAGTTTCAGCTAATCATTAGGTGATAGAAACAATATGAATAGTAAGACTGACAGATTTCAGGTCACTGATAGTGTAAAGTGTAATGTGAGTCCTTGAAGGGTGCATTGACACTTACTCCCTGCATGGCCAGATCTGTACTTAACATGGAGCAAAGGGAAAAAAAATATTAGAAACACTGGAGATACTTTATTTTATTTTGAACAGCAATATATTTCATGATTCCAGGTTTTTTGTTTGTTTTTTTTTTTTTAATAAGGACACCTTGCTAAACCAGCAGAAGTGAATTATCTGTTTCTCTTACTTGAACATTGAAGGCACGTAGTGCCATGTCTTTTACAAGGGAAGCAGTGGAATTAAAGCTTTATGCATGCTAATGTTTGCAAAGATGATTTGAAAGACATTTTTACATTAGACAAAATAATAGGAATTAAGAATGAGTTGTTCAAACATTGCATCTCTTAGCTTGTAAATTCTATTGTAATGAAGATGCATAATCAATATCTTTGCCAGATTTTTGTCAGAATCAAACTGATTTATGAGACCTGTCTTTGTTGGAGAGTCTTTGTAGAGCTACTTTTGAACTGGCTTCATTAAGACTGTGTCTATTTTGTTTCTTTAGCTTTGTGCACCTTTAGAGGAGTGCAGTCTTGTGACTGGGAGTGGAAAAGTTGGTGGGTTGATTCAGTGTCTCTAATTTGAGACATCATGTACTTTTTAAATAAACACAAAGAGTAAAATAAGGAATGTCCTGAATTCAGTGGTATAGAGATTTAGTATGTTTTTGGCTTTTTGGTCTGGCAGTGCAGTGATTTGATCTACTAGGATCCTTGAGACGCTATCAAGATGAAGCAGGTTCATGAATTTAGAACCAGTAMTTCTTATCTGTCCCCTTCAATGGCAGGAGTTCTTGTTGGTAAGGAAAAACATCTGAAGGCATAGCAGTATTTGCTCCATCGTTATTTCGGGATTTATGTTKTTATGCTTTATTTTCAAAGCCTAAATGTGTGTACTTAGAATGGCCACTCAGAATGGCTCTCTGTGTTCCTGGTACTGAGCATAACACTTTTACCTCACTTCATTTCCTCTTCCTCAGTCACTACGTGCCTTGTGTAAATTTTTCTTTCCTTAATTTCTCTGTTTACATTTTTTGCTGAATACATCCGATCATACTCATTTTTTGCCAAGTCTCTGATCTAGGAATGGTGGTAGAAATTGCAGAGTACAACCTAAATATTAAATGTAGTGTGAAAAATATTACTGAGTTATTCTGAAATTTAGATGAGGGAAAATARTGCAGGAAGTAACTGATGGCAAAAAAGGGGAGAATTGGATGAACTGATTTAAGGTCGATGAAAGGAGGATGAAGAAATACTTTGAAATCTAAGATGCTTAAAAAGCTTCTGATTTCTAATAAGTTATGTTTTGAATTGTATAACAATACTTGTTTGTCAAAATAAAGCTAGTTTAATAGACCTTTTTTGTTGGAGAGAGGATGGAAAGGAATGAAGATCTTGAAAATCTTACACATCGATAAAATGTGTGTTTTGATACAGGGAGGGGTGGAAATATAAACCCTGAGCAAAAATCACTATGTTGGCAGCAGCTGCTGTTTCAGARGAGTTAGGTAGTATATTTGTGCTGACTTTGCAAAGCTGTTTTTCTTCTGTAAATCTATTATGCCTTTTGCATTCTCTATAAAATAAAACAATAGGTAGCAGAAAGTAAGGAAGAAT